TTTGTCTCCTCAGCTCCTTGATCTGTTGTACCCACGTGTGGTAAATGACCGCATCTTTGGACCTGTTTTTCTTTTCATAAATGACAGTGAATGCCTTCCATTATTTATATAGTTCAAAAAACATTAAAAGTAAAGCACCAAAGATGAAAAAGAGACCAAACAAACCAAAAAACACAACTCTTCTCACTCCCAAACCTGTTAGGACCTGTAGGAATTGTTTAAGCAGGTTAAAACATTGTAATTGGAAATTTGAAGGAGGAGGAGGAGGGTAGAGTCTATTCAACACCCCTTTGGCTGCTTTTAAAAGATTCTATTCTTTATTAAGTTGGTTTTTGTAATTTTTTCAGTGTTATGCTTTTATGTGGTTGTTTTTAAACAAAGAGGATAGATCTAAAGCAATAAAGGATAAAATGGACTATTTTAAGAATATATGTCAGTGGTGCATCATTGGATTCTCCGCATTTTGGGAAGGTGTAAGGTTGATGATTTAACTCTATGAGGCTTGGGCAGATAGTGAGTAGTCTTCTCAAAACATCAAAACAAACAAACTAAAAAAGCCATACTTGTGGATGCACAAACTCTAAGATGGCTCCAGTGACTTTTCCTTGGTATTGCCCTTAAGTGTTATTTCAGACTGTGATTGGCTTCTAAGGAGTGTGTGCCACTAAACAATATCAATAGATGGTAATGATGAAAATTGTGCAAGTTGTCTGACAAAAACAGTCAGATGTCTGTTTCACTGGTGAATTCTACAAACCTTTAGGACAAGTATTAATCCAATTATAAAAAATCATTTAGACAAGAGTGTGAAATTTTTGTCATTTCTGAGAGTTTTTGTTAGATAATAAAAAAAGAATTGCGAAAAGTGCATAGCAATTAAATCTGATAAGACACATTAAAAAATGCACATCAGTTATGGATTGAGATGAGCAGAAATAAAAAGGGCAATGTAATCAGGACCAAGTAGTCTTTATCTCAGGAAGGTAAGATTATAAAATCAGTAAATACAGGTCACCATGTTGATGATAAATGTAAAACCTATATGATCGTTTCAGTAATTTCAGAGAAAGTATGTGAAATATTCAATACCATTAATGATAACAATGCTAAGTCTATGAGCATTGAAGGAAACTTCCTCAGCCTTAAAAGGTTACCTGAACTTTATGGCTAACATTTTTTCTTAAGTGATGGATTGGATGCTTTTTCCTAACATCTGAAAAAGACAAAAAACTCCTTCAATTTTATGCACTATATTACATAAGTCAGCATGGACATGAAAATAAAATAAAAGATTTGGTTGGAAGGAGAGAATTAAAACTGTATTTACCAATGACTACATATGTAGAAAACCCTAAAGAATCTACTCCTCCCTCAAAAAGGACTCACTTGAACTAATAAGTCAACTTTGCAAGGAATGGGATACAAGGTCATAATAACAGAAATCAATGGGAAAAATTAAATAAAAATATTTCTAGTAGTATAAAAACATGCAATAGTTAGTAATGAATTTAACTGACAATGGAAACTTTAAAGTTATTGAGAAAGACTAAAAAATGAGTGAAATAACTAGAGACATGCATATTCATGAACTGAAAGATGCAATATGATGTCAGTTCTCAAAATCAAATATAAATTTATTACAATATTGTTAAAAATCCAAGGACTTTCTTTGAAAAAAATCCAATCTTATAGTTCTATATGGTAATGCTGAACATCGTAGAATAACAATGACATTTTGAAAAGGCAGGTAAAAAATTGAGAACTTCACATTCCTTGTTTTCAATACATTATAAAATTCCTACTAACAACTGTGCTTTAGTGTTTTAGTTGTAATATTGTAAAGTTTGCTGTAAAGTACTTGATTTTAGCATGGTATTGACATAGGGATAGATTTTTAGATCTATGGAATATATAGAAAGAGATCTATATATCCATATTCAAGTGATCTTCAACAAAGACACCAGAAGAAAGAAACCAAACATCATAAGTGATGTTAGAAGATTGGATATCCATATGGAAAAAAAACATGAACTGTGTGCTTACTTCATACCACATCAGATATTATGTTGGACTACATCATAGACTCAGGCATAACAAATAAATCAAATCCCATCAGAAGAAAATATAGGAAAAGAATTTTTTTTTTAGAGGTATTGGGCTTCGAAATCAAGGTCATGTTGCTAGGCAGGTGCTCTACCAGTGAGCACACTCCCACAGCCCTTTTTTTGTGTTGGGCATTTTTCAAGCTAGAGTCTTGGAAATATTTGTTTGGGCTGGCTTCAAACCACAATCCTCCTGATCTCTGCCTCCTGAGTAGCTAGGATTACAAGTGTAAGTCACTGGGTGCCTGGGCCAGGAGAAAATTCTTACAACTTTGGATAGGCAAAGGTATCTTAGAGATATAGAAGCATAACCATAAATAAAAATTCAGTCAAATTGGCTTCATTAAAATTAGAAATGTCTTCTGTTTGAAATATACCATATAAGATGCAGAAAGGGGGTGCGGGAAATTGTTTGTGTTGCTGCTGGAAAACTGGAGGTGGTCCTGCTGCAGCTACAGCTCTTCAGCTATCTGACCAATGGTGGCTCATTTAGTTTGAGCCCACAGTTCTTGAGTGAAGCTCCCCAAAATACCAGCAAGGGTAGTGATAATGGTCAATGGGAAGAGTGGGGACTGGAACGTACCTTCCCATGCTCCATCCACACTGGTGATGTGGGAAAATTCTTCTGGATACTCAGTCCAAGAGGCAGTTTCACCATGACAGGGTTTGCATAAGAAGATAGGCAGTCACATTTGATGTTGAGATGCTCACCAGCAGGAACTGTAGCTGTCTGTCAGAAAAAGTAGAATAAGAGAAGGAAAGCCCAGGTTTTGAGAAAAGAGCAGGCTGAAGTAATGGGGAATGGTCTAGTGCACCTGAAACATTTCACCAAGAAGTTTAGAAACCTAGAAGTGCTGAGTCTCCAAGGAAGAGATGGTGGAGCATGAGGAAAGGGGATAGTCTTTCTGATATGTTTGTTGGATTCGGTTTGCCATTATTTTATTGAGATTTTTTGATTATTTTATTGAGGAGATTGCCTGTTGTTCTCCTTTCTGGATGTGTTTTTGTCCAGTTTTGGGAGGAGTATCATACTGGCTTCAATAGGATGAGTTAGGCAGTGTTTCCCTTCCCTTTCTACTTCATGGAAAAGTTTAAGGAATGTTTGTAGTAGATCTTCTTTAAAAGTCTGGTACAATTCATCTGAGAATCCGTCAGGTCCTGGACTTTTCTTTTTGGGAGACTCTTTGTGCTGCTTCAATTTCATTACATGTTATAGATCTGTTTTAGGTGGTTAGTATCTTTCTTGGTTTGTTTTGGATGGTTGTAATATCTAGAAATTTGTCCATTTCTTCATGATTTTCCCAATTTATTGGAATATAGGTTCTCAAAGTAGTCTCTGATGAGTCCCCTGGATTTCCATGGTGTTGTTTGTTATCTCCCCTTTTGCATTTCTGATTTTCTAATTTTTGGGTTTCCTCCTCATTTTAGTGATTTTGTAGGGGCCTGTCAATCCTTGTTTATTTTTCAAAAACTGTCCTTTTTGTTTCATTGATTCTTTGGATTTTTTGGTCTCTTATTTCATTAATTTTGACTCTCGTTTCTATTATTTTTTTCTTCTGCTTGTTTTGGGTTTTGCTTGCTTTGCTTTCTAAGAGTTTGAGATGTAGCATTAGGTCGTTTATTTGAGATCTTTCCGTCTTCTTAATTAACTGCTTAGGACTGCTTTGCAGTGTCCATAGGTTCTGGTAGTGTTTTGATTTTCATTAGCTTCCAGGACACTTTTTTATCCTCCTCATTTCTGCTAACCCACTTGATTGCTGAGCAATGTATTATTCAGCCTCCAATTATTTGTGTTTGTTCTGCTGTCATTTGTGTTGTTGAGTTCTAGTTTAATGCATTGTTATCAGATAGAATATGGGGGATTATTTCTATTTTCTTATATTGCTGAGGTTTACTTTGTGTCCTAAGATATGATCTATTTTGGAGAAAGTTCCATGGTTGCTGAGAAGAGTGTATATTGTGTTTGTTGTTGGGTGAAATATTCTGTAGACATCAGTTAGTCCATTGATTTATGGTGTCATTTAGTTCTAGGATTTTTGTTGTTTTTTTTGGTTGATGACAATATCTATTGGTGATAGAGGGTTTAAAGTCTCTGCTACCACTGTATTGAAGTCTATATGTGCTTTTAAGAAAGTAGACATTCTTATCTGTTTCAGATCTTTAGAGAAAAGCTTTTCAGCTTTTTAACTACTTAATATAAATTTGTATTGTCTATTATAAATGCCCTGTATTATATTGAGTTTTGTTCTTCTATACCTTTTGTTCAGCCTTTTTATGCTGAAGGCATGTTGAGTTTTATCAAGCCTTTTCTATATTAGTGAGGTGATCAGATGGTTGTTGTCCTCATTCTGTTGATGTTATATTCATTACTATGTTTTAGTCTATGTGGTGAGGTTTGGTTAGTCTTAGCTGGGCTGCTCTAGGTTTCACGAGAAAGGGTGCTGTGAACATGTAATGTAGTTAATATCTGTTCTAGTGGCAGGAAGGGGAGACTGACTGTACTTGTTTTGAATATTATCCCAGGTCAAATGGTTAGTATTTTTATGCTGATTTGTGAGTGACAAGTGATTATATTTCTCAGCATTGATTAAAACAGCTGATAATTTTGAATTCTACTTTGTAATGGCATTATATGGCTTTTTTCACACTGATATTTTTTATTTTTTATTGACAAACAATAATATATTTATTTAATGGGATTGATAACCCGTGATGTTTTGTATATTGTAAGTTCATTGTAGAAAGTAATTCATAAAATTAATTGCCCAGGTATAGTGAATATGTGAAAATATTTACAATAATTTTCAATGAATAGATATATTTGTAAAAGTGAACATAGAATCAGTAGGCTAAGATTTTAATAAGGTGAAAAGATGCTTTTTTGAATCAAGTTGTTACAAAAGAAGAAAATGGCATTGAAGCATTTCAGATCTGTTGGCGTCTCTGCTCCTGAAACAGGAAAATTACAACTATTGAATGAGGGAGATGGCCAAGGATTTGCTCAACAAAGAGTGCACTGTGTGATGGTTTGGCACGGACATGGTAGGTGCTTGTGATATCTAACATGAGTTGAAACTCCAGAACCATAGTTTGTTGTTTGCCACAAGGGAGGTTCAAGGAGTTGTTTGAAGAGTCAGCCAGTGTCATCCAGCTGGGTAATTGTGCTTTGGTGATAATGGGTTAAGGAGCATATGGAAGAAAGAGTCAGTAAGTAGGATAAAAGACTCTAAGTGTATTAGTGATGCTGGTATATCTGTTCAAACACTCCTTAAGTGATACTTTATTGTAACATAATGAATGAATGTGGAACAGAGAGAACAAGGAAAACAACAATTCTTCAACTCCAGGAAGTAAGAGAGATGAGATATACAAAAGATTAAAAAAGAAGAGGAAGTATTGCGGTGGTGTGAACCTTCCCCAATAAAAAACAAAAATGCCATCTTAAGGTCATGAATTGATGTTTGTTTCAGTTTTTGCTTAGAAGGTGCTAATTTTGAATTGTAACTATTTTTATGTCAGTATGTGGCTTTATTCACCATTGGTATTTTTTTTATTTTTTATTGGACAAATAATTACTATTTATGGTTTATAATGTGTGTTTGATATATGTAAGTCATTGTAGAAGATTATTCAAGTAAATTTTAACTTCTATTACATAAGTTGTTTGTTGGTGGGAGCCCTTTTAAAATTATTCTTTTAGAAGTTTTTGTAACATAACATATTATTTTTTATTAACTATAATTAAATGTGGCAATAGACACTAAAATTATTGTTCCTGTCAACTGAGCTCATACCCTTTTACAGCATTCTGCTTTTCTATTCTCGCTTCCTGCTCTGATAATTTCTATCAGCATGTGTTTTTAAATAGTTTGTGTTTAGAATTTTCTTTCACTAAAAAGCTGTTTCATTGTATCAAAACATTGTGTCACTCCCCATAAGAAAATAAGTGTAAATTTTGTATACATTTCAAGGCATACCTAATGGAAAAGTCAGTATTTTATTTATATGCAATTTTTTGTATTTCTGTTTACAATAAAATGAAGTTCTATTTAATCAGTTTTCCCACAGTGCTTGCTTTGGTCACAGGTGAGGTCAAATATATATTTGCCATTAAAATCTAGAGAAAATAGTGAACTAGGAAAAGATATAATGGTGGCAAATAACTTATCAGGTTAAGAAAAAAATCCAGTAATGCAATAGGATTTGGTTTGAACCAATATTTTAATACTGAACTTGTTTGGAACTTTAAGTGTGCATGATTCTAGTTTCGGTGATAGTAAAATTTTCAAAGGTGTGTTGTGTGTAAATTGCTAAAAGGGTGGTTTAAAAAACCTCTCCCAGGGCAGCATCCTCTGCAAGTCTCTTTTAAGACGTAAGCCATTTTGTTTCTTACTGAGTTTGATGAGACAGGTGGCCATTATGACTGCAGATGTGCTAGGGGCTGAGTTGCATGCACTATGTGCTTGGGCGCCATTTCTTACTTACTATTTCACATTTGCTTTCTTTTCGAATTTAGATTGGCACTCATTCTAAGAGGAAAAAAAGCAACTCATCTGCTCTTTTATTTACTCCCCCCTAACCCTTTTTTAGCTGGTTCAGACATTTTCCGGTGCATCTATGTTAAGGATGAAGTAGAATTGGATGAGTTATTTAGCTGTTAGTTGGTGACATTTCTGATGGAATTACCAGGAGATTCTGAAAGTTCATTCAGCCCTACACTATGAGAGCCTGTGGCTCATCTTTCGAGAGTTATGTAAAGAAGGGAAATTATCAGCCTGTATAAAATTGGGCAGTGGAACTCAGAAGTCATGCCTAGGTGTGTAAGTCTTCTAGGAATAATTTTGTTTACAATTCAATTTATCACATATAAACTTTGCAATTAGTAATTGCAGGTGTTATTATCATCATACTGGTTTGTTATCGCTCATCAATGTCAGTTATGGCAATGTGTTCTATCTATGTAATAAGATATATATTAATATATATAATACAATTAACTTAACTGTACCCAGTTTCAGTTTGCTATTTTAGATTATCTTATATTTCTCTCTGTTTTGCAAGTAATGTATAGTAAATATTTTATAGATAGATTTATTTCTTGGCTGATCCAATTAGGTGAGTTAATTGTTGTAATGGCAAAATATAATAGTGATGATATTGCCAAATTTCCTTTTAAACTGAGTCGATGTCAATGAGTATTTATTCTTATTTCCATCCTTTGTCTGCTGTGTGTGTTCAGACATAGATAGATACCCCTGACATTTTTCATGATGAAAGTGTAGATCTTATGATGTTTAATCTTTCCCCCCCAATATTTATTAGACAGCTTTACAAAAGTAAAAATGAAGAAATATGCACTAGAATTTCTGCAAGGATATTGTATGCAGTGGTTGTGATCTGTGTGCTTGGTTTATGTATTTCACTTAACCCAGAGGATTTTGTAGTAATTAGCTGTGAGCTGGTCACACTTTTGAAGAAAACTGAGATTATGATTGATTTAGCTGCAATAAAATGACTTGTGAAAGAGGCATTTCCTGGCTATGGATAAATCAGTAACTATCAACCTCCATAATTTTCTTCTTGGAGTACTCCCAGGGGATGCCAGCCCCCCCAGTTTTCATCCTTAGTGCGCAGAGCCTATAGATTCTGTCTCCATTGTAGGTATAACCCAATACATTTATACCACATTTGAGAGTGCTCTTGAGATGTGCAGGTGCGGAAACTATCCAGTGAATTTGTTTTGGGCATTTGGTCATGGCGAGCATGGTAGAATTGTGAGAATCGGAATTTTTTGACCACAAGCTATATCTGCTGGTTGCAGCCCTGGTTGTCCTTTAAGCTTGGTTGTTATGTTTTCTAGCTGAGGTGCCTCAATTCTCTAGGCTTCACCTTTATCCCTGGCCCATTTCTGTTTGTTTTTGTTTTTTTTTCCTGCGTTTTAAAAAAAAGAGTCCTTTCCCTTGTGGTTCCAGTCTGTCTCTGTAGGGGTTATCTTCTAATTGATAACTGATACTGAGGATGAAAGGTGCTTAATGAAATCACCTCTTGGCAACAGACTTATTTTTCGTTTGGACTTTTTTGGGGTAGGGATGTTAAACCAAAGTATGTAAATTAAATAGTGAGAATTTATCATTACAGAAAGATAAGATTTGCACTTGAAAATAAGCTTTTTTAATGGGTGTTCATTTATTCAGAGGCATTGGTTCTTCTTCCTCTTTTTCTCCCTTCCCTTTTGGCCTGGGCAGTATTGCACATTTGTTTATTTCACTGATTCTTGCTAGGATGGGGAGATGGTTTTGTGTAGGAATGGTTCTGGTACCTCTCTCTATCTATGTAAAAGTGAGCTTTTATGCACTCCCAGATCTTCAGATGTGACAGGAGCCGTCTAATGGTATATGTTAACATGTTATCTATGTTGAATTGTTTAGTTAGTATGTTTAACTTATGTTTAAATTTTCGATCTTATTAAAAGGGGTATATGAATTTTTTTTATTAAAATGAGTTTAAAAAGGTAAAGATTTTTGTTTATTAAAATGTTTTAAAAAGTTAAAAGGTAAAAATTAAATTTACAATTTTTAAATCAAATTTAAATTGTAGCTTAAATGATATTACTTGAATTATGGAGACATTTTACTTTTCAATATTGTTTTCCCCATCAAAAAATTGAAGAATGATATTCCATTTCTATCAGAGACATGCGTTATTTGAATCTAAAAGTAATTTTTGTCATTTTACCTCAGATAAAATACCCAGTGAGCTGATTGGATATCACTTTATCTGCTCCTTCATTTTGCCGTCAAATTATCCTGAGAATTTGAGTACCAAAGAGTATGCTCAAGAACCTCTGGAGCCTTGTTGGAGGAAGTCATAACAGACACCAAACTCTCCAGCAAAGAGAAGAAGAAAAAGCTGAAGCAGGACTAAGTTTCAGAGTCATTTTTCTTCCTTCCTTTGCTTTTACATGTTTCTTATGTTCCTCTTATTCTCTCTTTTAATGGACTTCATGCAAAGCTCACTTCTGAGACACAGCAGGTTTAAAAGTATATTATTTGTTCATATAGCTTCACTGAGTTACACACTTGTAGTTAGTTTTCAGATCTCTATTCTCCAGTGTAAGTCTTTTTACATTATTGAAGTCTTCGTTACAGAGCCACTCTCTAATATCTCTCTGTCATCATGCATCACATGATGTGAATCAGCAATGATTCAATGCTAACAGTGAGGGCAGATGTCTTTTGAAAAGTTAAATCAGATTGAATTCATAAATGTAATGTCTAGAGTTTCGAAGCCTTTGGTTTTAGATAGCCAGTATCAAAATTGGTTTCTAGCATCAGGCATCACTAAGTTTTTACTTCCTGTTATGTTAGGCAACAGAGCTAAGGTAGAGAATAATCTTCAACTCAGAAAGGATGCTGTAGACATTCTCAAAGACTGACTTGTGATCAGTGATAGTATTTGTTTTTAAAGACTGATCACTACATAACTGGTTTTGGCCACATAGCGTACCTAGGATTACACACAGAGCATATATATGGTTCTATTCATATTTTTTCATAGTAATTTTGAAAAGAATTCAATGGTGAGGATCAAAGAAAGTATATTGCCTTCCCTTCAGCTTTTCATAAAGTAATATACCAGAGTTTTCCTTTTTCATTTGGGCAAATCTGGCAAGGCTGAGTTGGAGAAGCAGAGATGGTAAAATGTAGTTATGTATGTATATTCTTGTGTAGAATATAACTTATTTTCAAGTCAGAATGACTTGTGAATATTAAAGTAAAGTTATTTTATAGTTGGCAGTGGGAAAATTTTAAGAATATGATTAAAAGGAGAACTCTATTGAAGATTAGATCAAAGGAAAGATGAGTTAGATCTATAGACATTGACCCCAGTAATCTAACAGAAATAAACAAGCAGGAAGTATGAAAAAGAAAACTCTTACATTAAAATTCACCCAATTTTCTTGACTCTTATATGTCTTTTGACTGTTACTGACTTCTTGTTTAGTTTCAGAAATCCTCCCGAAGTCTACCCAAGAACGGTTTCCTACACCAGAAAGTGAAGCACTTCTGTTTCCTGAAAAACCAAACGAAGCCACAGCTGCTCATGTGGGACTGAAAAGCTTTCCAGCCATTTTCAAAGAACTCGAAGTTTTCGATGTGATGCCTCAGCAACAGAGCTTAGAGACCTCAGTGTGGTGGTTGTTTTCAGTGATGGTGGTGAACGAAAGAAAATCATAAAATGAAACTTGAAATAGAGATACAGATTATCTGACTTTTAAAAATGTTGAGCCATTGTCAGTATTTTTTATAAATAATGCTACTTTTAAAGTTGTACAAATCAATAAAAAGTACAAGTCAAACATATAGTGGCAATTGTTAACAGTTTTAGAATTGTCACCAAATCTAAAGGTAAAGTTTTTTTATTCTTTTTATTTGTCGTTTTGCCATGTTTTATAAAATAATTTGTGTACATCCTACTTACTGATGCCTTTTTATAACCAAGTCTTAGAGTAGTGTATGTACTTGAGCAAGAAAAAGACACTGGACTATTACTGTGATGCTATTGACTTAATAGCCAATTGTGATTTCTCTGTGTAAATTCAATTTTCATGGCTGCACAAATTTCTTAATGTCCTGTATTGTGATGGCTTTGTCTTTTTGTTGCAAGTTTGTGGATGCTCTGAGCAGATTTTATTAAATCTGGTTTTTATATGTATTCATTTTCCTGTAAGTGGAGTAGATTTTTGTTTGACTGCATGTATAATTTCATCTTAGCTAAAGAGGAAGGTTGCACTGGATAATTGTTTGGTTCCTTAACTTGTAATTCTAAGTTAAATCTTGTTGATTTTGTGAAAAACATGAATGAGTTAAGTAAAACAAGACTATTTTTTATATTTTTCTCAGCTTCTTCATCCTTTTGAAAGTAAAATGCAATGAAAATGAAAATGCCAGTGAAAAAGATGTTTTTTATATCTTTGTTTGCATTTATTTACCATCAGTTAGAGAGCATCTTCATGCCTTTGCTAAATTCAGTGAGTCATTTATTTCTATAATAAGATCTGAGGCTTGGCTTTTTAGTGGCCTTTGGAGGTAGCTTTATCAATTTGTTTTGCTTTGCTTTTTTTATTTTGCAAAATGATAGAGCATATGGATTATGGAGAAATCTGGAAGGTCTCTGAGTGAGAAAAAGCTCAGAGCAATACCTGCTAATTGGCTTGTGATACTTTTTGCTCTTGAGATCTGCCCTGTTCTTTTGTAACAGAATGCCTTCTATAGTTGCAGAGATTTTGCTTATTTAAAAAATGAACATAATTTGCTACCCACCTTATATTCTAAATATGTAATGTAGAGGTGATTTTTAGACTTCAGTGCTTATTCTTAGTCTTTGGCATTCTGTTTAGAGCAAAGAATAATTCTTTTTCTGCTCTATTTGCCCTCCATGGTAGAGTTTATTTGCCTCCATGATATTATTTTCCTTGTTTTTTGTTTGTTGTTTTTTTGGTGGCTGGGGTTGAACTCAGGGCTTCACACTTGCTAGGAGGTGCTCTAACTTGAACCACTCACCAGCCCTTTTTTGTATTGGTTATTTAGAGATAGGAACTCACAAACTATTTGTCTGGGCTGGCTTTGAACTTCAACCTTCCTGATTCTGACTCCTGCGTAGTTAGGATTACAGGTGTGAGCCACTGGTGACCTGCTGGAATCTACTCTATTCTTTCTTTGAAGCATCTGATTGCTTTCTTTTTTATTCTTATGATTGCTTTTTAAAAAATGTGTAACATACTTACGAAATATAAAAACATAATCCACATGTAAGTGTAAATTGATGGTAGGAGATAGTGATTTTCCAAAGTGTTGTACAAAGAAACTTCCATTATCAGTATATAAGAGTTAAACTTGCTATTGCCAGATTTTGATTGTTCCAAATATGTGGGTATTATGGTATCTATTATGGTGTTATAATATGGCTGAACCCTTTTTTCATTTGATTTGGGGCTTTTTCACTTGTGTACGTATTTTAATAGCTTGTTAACTATACACATATACATGCATTGTTCATATTTTTGATTTGATTGTATTGGATCATAAGTCAATTTGGAGAGAATTGCTATCTTTACAATATTAAACCTGCAGTTCGTGAGCATGGTTTACTTCCATTTATTTAAAATACATGAGACTGAAATTTTAAAGTTTTCTTTAAAGGTTTATAAATTTTTGATTATTTGCTCCTAAGTATTTGATCTTTTAAAAAAGTTAGTATCAAATTTTCAGATATATATTATCTATATATATTACATATAAAGAAAATAGTACCATTCCCTAGTTCAATAGTTACCCTACTCAAATGGGTTTGGTTTGATACTATTGTAAATGTTTTAAGTTTTTCTGTTTGTTGCTTGTACGTAGTATAAAACTGATTTTTCTGTCTAGTGACCTTGCTAGACTTTTTTATTAATCTAAACAGTTGGACTTTTTTTGTTCAGTTTTCAACATTGACTACACATCAACAAACAATGACTGTTTTTGTGTTTGCTTCCGTGGTAACAGCATCTGAAATGTTTCCTAGTGATCCGTACTTCCTGATATTAATTGCCCCATGTAATCTCTTCCTTTGAGTCTGGATAAGGCCAGTGGCATTTCTAACAGCAGAAAATGGCAAAGTAATGGCATATCAATTCTGAGCTAGATTCCAAGAAGTTTCTCCTGCTATCTGCTTGTCCTTTGGTTCACTCTGAGGAAAGCCAGCTGTTAGGATGTGGGCTACCCTATGGAGGGGCTCAGTTGAGGAAATGATGTTTTGGCAAACAGCAGTGAAGATACAAGGCCATCAACAGGTGTATGAGTGAACTTAGGAAGTGGGTCCTCCATGTCCTTGAGGTTACTCCAAACCTACTTGGCACCTTGAATCACAACTTTTCGAAAAACTGAGTCAGAAGACTCAACTAAGCTGGATTTCAACACACCCTCAATATGATTAATAAGCATTTGTTTGTTTTAGCCATTTTTGGGGGGTGATTTGTAATGAAGTGATATATGCAGCATATTTCAGTAATCTTTTGCCATTTCTCTCTCTTGTCTCTGGCCCTGACAATCTGCAGTACAATGCTTAATAGAAGTAGGGATAGCAGCCATCACTGTCTTCTTTCTGATTTCAGAGAAAGCTTCTTAGCATATTTTTACAGTATTTGTATATATGTTTTTATTGTGTTTGACTGAAGTTATCTTTCATTCCTACATTTCCAAAACATTTTTGTTTACTTGTTTTAACCATAATTTTGATGTTGAATCTTAAATACTATTTTACATTTTGCATCTTTAATTTATCATGGGCTATATTGCTTACTATTAATATAAACCAATATTGCATTCAGAGTTTGGGCTGGGCATGGATAAATTAAGTCATGATTACTGTAATTTTAATATACATCCAGATTCTGTTGATAAATATTTTGTGTGTATATATTTGTGTTTGTGTTGCAAGTACTAGGGTTTTGAACTCAGGGCTTATGGAGTTTTCTAGTTTTTTTTTTTTTTTTTTAAAGACTTGATCTTTGCTGTTAGCTCAGATCTTGCTGTGTAGCTCAGGCTGGCCTGGACTTGAGATCTTCCTGCTTTCTGTCTCAAGTGCTGGGATTACAGCATGTACCATATCAGACCTAGTGTGTAATTCTTAAATCTTTTTTCGTAAGCAAAATTGGCTGGAGTCTTCTTTCTCTTTTTAACCTTTGTTGGGTTTTTATTATTTTGTGATTTGGTTCTTATATGTATCCCAAGAGAACCATATGATAAGGTTGGAGGCCAAGCCTGTGACTATTGGGAAGTGTGGAACTTTTAGAAGGTGGGGCTTGCAAGGAAGTTAAAGTTATTGGGGAATGTGCCCTTAAAAGGGATACAAGTCCTGCCATAATGTACTATATTCCACAGGCCCAAAAGCAGGGCCAGATGACAATAGAGTAAAACCTCTGAACTATGAGCCAGAATAAATCTTTCCTCATTTAAGCTGATTTTTTCTATGTCACACCATAGAAAGCTAACAGCACAAAGATTGTAATTGTGCTGGAAATTATTCCCTTTTTCTGTATAAAGTTGAAATTCTTTTTTTCTGAATCTTTGGTGGGACTTTGGTGGTGAAGCATATAAATGTTCTACTTAACATTTTGTCATTTTTTTTAAACAAGTATCTGAAGTCAGAAAAATGGTTTTGTATTCCAATTTTGAAACTTCTTACATTGCTTAGGCTCAAGATTGCGTAAATATTCTGTGTGCACTTGAATAATATGAATTTTATAGTTATTGGGCAGTTTTTCTTATAAAATATATTGCATTCCTATTTCATTTATATTTATGCTGAGATTATATATTTTTTTGATGAAATTATTATGAATTTTTAAAATCTTTTTTGTGTGATGTGTGTGCATGTACTTGGGGATTGACTTGGCCTCCCAGGATAGGTAAACTTGAATCTTTGGTGGGACTTGGTGGTGAAGGCATATAAATGTTCTACTTAACATTTTGTCATTGATTTTTTAAACAAGTATACTGAAGTCAGAAAAATGGGTTTTGTAATTCCAATATTTGAAACTTCTTACATTGCTTAGGCTCAAGATTGGTAAATATTCTGTGTGCACTTGAAATAATATGAATTTTATAGTTATTGGGCAGTTTTTTTCTTTATAAAATATTATTTGCATTCCTATTTCATTTATATTTATGCTGAGAATTATATATTTTTGATGAAATTTATTATGAATTTTTAAAATCTTTTTTGTGTGTATGTGTGTGCATGGTACTGGGGATTGACTTGGCCTCTCCAGGATAGGTAAACACTCTACAACTAAGCTCTAGCCCCAGCCTGTACTTTTATATCTTTATAGTAACTGACCTGTTAGTCATTGTGAAGTGTCACTATTTTAGTAATGGATTTGTCTACAACTTTTCTGTCGTTTTATATATTTTTGATATATTCCTTTAAAGAACATAAAAAAGCCAATTATATAATCTTTAACTATAACATTTAAGAAATTTATATTTACTATAATTACTGTATATTTAGGTATATCTCTAGTCCTTACTGCTTTTTTTGTTTTTGGTCTGTATATTTATATATTTATTTTTATTGTGGCATTTACAAAATTTCTTAATACCAAATGTATTATAGTT